TGTGTTCAGATGGAAAAGGTGCCACAGATTCCTCCATCTACACTTAACTGTGTGGATGGAGTAATCTCCACCTGGGCCAATCTGTTGCACTTTTTCCATCTGACCACAGAAAATCAGCAGATAATTATAAGGTGTATGGGCACCTTTAGAAAGAAAAAGAAACACTCTAAATCACCCTAAGCTTTACATATTTATATGTTCCAGAATGCAAAGCATCAGAACATTGCATGCCCTCAGGCGGCCGACTGACTTGCCTTGCGGTAGCGCCGGGCCTGTGTGTGTGTATCTGTGTTTAATTCTTTTATACACATTGCACATAATCCAGGTCCTACGGACTATTCCCCAAGGTCCAGTAAAAGTCTGTAATGGTTCAAGAAGCCATAAGGACTACCCGGTGACTGACTTGAACCTAACAACAAAAGGTTTGGTCACGGTAGAAATTATGTTTGTGAAAGTCTGCCAGCAAATTACTGAAATTCTGGCAAAGCCTTCAATGTAAAAACATATTTTTTTCCCAAAGACTGTATACAGTTGCATGCCATTGGTTACACAGTAGACACTGGGAAAGGGGAAGGGCTTACAGCAGGGGTGGGGCTCTAGGGAGGAGCAATAATAAATCTAAGAGCCTGTTATGACGACTTTATTTTACCTTAAAAAATAACTTTGATCTAAACAGAGATTTACTATGTTTTTTTGTTTTTGTTTTAGTGTTACAGACTTAGCTGTTAAGACCTCCAACAAGTTGTAGTTAACAAGATCCTCCCAGTTTTTGAAGTTGCTAACATGCAAATTCTTTTTTCCTTTCCCCCAGCAAGCTATATTGCATGCTCGGTTTTACTTGCCTTTCTGATGCCCTCTGGCCAGCTATGTGAGACCCTGGGTCCTCTTTGGTCTTCCCTTAGCGGTGGGTGGCCCAGGAAGATGACAACAGCGCTGCTCTCTGCATCAGTGCTGTACACAATGTGAGTGCAGGGTGCCATGCTGAGTGCGTGGGGCCATAATGCCCTACATTCATAGTCATTCCTCAGTCTTTGGAATTCAGTGATGCTGGGTGTCATTCAGCCCAGAAAACTAAAGGCATCTTGTGGTGAAGAAGAGGTAGTGCAGGAAACAGCTCCAGCTGAAGGTGAGTATTGCAGCAATGGCTTCTTTTTTAACATCCAAGGAAGAAAAATAAATATATATATCCTCAAATAGTAAAATTTCTGCAGCAAATGGGCTAATAATACCAAAAAATGTCTATGTGCAATTCTTTCACAATTCTTACTTGTTGCAGGAGGATGATCTTGGTCAGCCGGACTGTTTGATGTCATCAGTTGTCAGACATAACTATATACAGGGGTACGGGTACTCCTAGAATGAGATCCTAATAGGTTGGACTTGATGGACTAATGTCTTTATTCAACCTCAAATACTATGTAACTATGCATAACACACTGGGATAAGTAAAGAGAAAAGCTCCCTTGAATCATACTTGGTAAATAACTGTTGCAGAAAGGTTTGGATCACTCGCTGCAACTCATTCCTATATTTAGTGGTAAGTTCCTCGTCTGGACCCCCCCAGCCCCACAATTACTTTTGTTTAATATTCTTTTTATTTACATTTTTATTTTATTTTTCTTGTAAGGCCATCCCCGCCCAAGGTAAGCAAACATGGGCAGGGTCAACAATGCAAAATTAGTAAAAATATTGGAGCTGAGAAAGGGGACCCATTTGGATTTTGTGGGGTAGAAGATGCATTTCAATCCCCTTTTTTCCTCAACAGCCTTTTATTGTGAGTCTTTCTCCAGGAACAAGAGGGGAAGGGCGGGCAGCAGCAACTATTAGGCATATAATCCTGTGGCCATACACTGCCTACCCTTTCCCTCAGTGAAGCCTTAAAACTAAAAGCAGCAACCGCCAACAACAATTCCACTTTCCATGTCAAGTTTTTTGCTTGAATGAAATAAAAAAAAATCTCATTAACCCCACCCCCTCATGCCTAGCACCGGTATACCAGCTTGGCACTTCAACTGTTTCCATACCAGTTGGCAAAAACAGCACCCTACCTCTAATTGAATAATGAACACTCTCCCATCTGCCATCACTACTTTTTATGTTTTTTTTGTTAGTCCGCCCCTTCCCTTGTCAAGCAAACATGGGTAGGGGCAGCAAGGTTGTAACTAAAATGCTTACATACTTTCATTCCAATGGACTATGAGGTTTCAAGGATGTACAGTACCAGTGTCTGAAGTTGGTTTAATATAAGGGTTTAGACAGGGCCGGATTTACTCTCCCTGCTGCCCCAAGGACCAGGTTCCGCAATGCGTCCCCTCCCCCTCCTACACACGCTGCCGCCCCTCTGCGACCTGCCGCCCCGAGGCCGGGCCTCGGTGGCCTTGTGGGGAATCCGGGCCTGGGTTTAGGTACCAGCCTGACACATGTAATGTCAGATAGCACCTTCAGAGCCCGATCACACCACATTCAGTGCATTCCAGCACAATTAGTGGCCAGAACGCACTGGATTGCCTATATCAGGCCCCCACATTCTGGGGCGGGAGGGGGCGTGGTGCTGCCATTGAAGTCAATGCATGCACTATTTGTGGCAGTGGTGCCATTTACTTCAATGGTACCACCATGCCCCCTCCCACCCCAGGACGCAGGGGGGTTTGCTGTATGCAATCCAGTGCCTTCTGGTCACTAACCGACTAGAGAGAGTGGAAGAGATTTGTGATAGAGAAGCTGACTTGTAAAATGAATGAGACCTGGATTATAGAGGACAACCAAACACACCCTGCAGATGTTAAACTAGGTAAAGGTCAAACATTTCCCCTATTCTCATTATATCTGCTGCTGCCAACATTTCAGCCACCTAGCACCTCGGCTCCTTCTTCGCCTTCCCCTCCTTTCTTGTCAAATAGCAATTGACCTCCTCATATCCAAAAATGTCTGAAGCTCTAATTTGTTTGGAGGAGAACTCTCTGTGCTTTGTGTCACAATATTTGACCCTGCTCTTACTGCCTTATGTCTCTACATTTAGGCATGTGCTGGTTATCTTGAAAATGTAGTGCCAGCGGGCAATTTGCCTAAAGCTGGCTATACACTGAGCAACTGTTGGCTGGTTCTTGATGTACCGGACAAAATGCGCTCAGTGGGTGGCCTTGTCAGCCAGCTCTATGGTATAACATGAAACACTGTCGGATCACAAACCTTCCTCCTGCTCCCGCCGCCCACTTACCTGAATAGTGGGGTTCATGTCTTTTCAGGCTTGTGTACAAGTTTGAATTCAGCATGGCTGGCTATGCATGGCTCCACCCACACAGCTGCATCATCCATTCACAGACCTTTTGACAGGATATGTAAATAGAGAAACTACCAGTCACCATGTCCTCCTGTCCATGTCCTTGAATGTCCATACGTCTATATGGTCTGCAATCTGCAGGAGCCAAAGCACTACACCTGTGATCTACCGATCGCGGTCGCAATGCTTAAAGTATGGACGTGGTTGTGAGAAAAAGTCTGAAGGAGCCAGAGCATTTCACCCGCCATTCACTGATCACAAGTGCAATGCTTGAGGTACCGACATGGATGGGAGGAAGAGTCTCTGGGATCCAGAGCAGTGCACCCACCATCCACTGATAGTGGTTGCAATACTTGGGGTACGGACATGGACGGGAGAAAAAGTCTGAAGGAGCTAGAGCGTTGCACCTGCCATTCAGTGATCACAAGTGCATAGCTTAAGGTATGGACATGTATGGAAGGAAGAGTCTCTGGGATCCAGAGCAGTGCACCCACCATCCACTGATCACGTTTGCAATATGTGGGGTATGAACATAGAAAGGAGGAAGAGTCTGCAGGATCCACAGCATTGCACCTGCCATCCACTGATCTCTGTGGCAATACTTGGGGTACAGACATTCACGAAGGAAGAGTCTGCAGGAACTGGAGCATTGCATTCACCACCCACTGATCTCGGTGACAATACTTGGGGTACAGACATAGACAGGAGGAAGAGTCTGCAGGATCCAGAGCACTGCACCCACCATCCACTGATCTCAGTGAAAATACTTGGGGTACAGACAGGGACAGAAGGAAGAGTCCGCAGGCACTGGAGCATCGCACCCACCATCCACTGAACTCGGTGACAATACTTGGGGTACAGACATCGACATGAGGAAGAGTCTGCAGGCACTGGAGCATTGCACCCACCCATGCACTGATCTCAGTGACAATACTTGGGGTACAGACATGGACAGGAGGAAGAGTCTGCAGGCACAGGAGCATTGCACAGACCACCCACTGATCTCAGTGGCAATACTTGGGGTACAGACATGGACAGGAGGAAGAGTCTGCTGGCACTGGAGCATTGCACCCACCCATGCACTGATCTCTGGGGGAATACTTGGGGTACAGACATGGACAGGAGGAAGAGTCTGCTGGCACTGGAGCATTGCACCCACCCATGCACTGATCTCTGGGGGAATACTTGGGGTACAGACAGGGACAGGAGGAAGAGTCTGCATGCACTGGAGCATTGCACCCACCATCCACTGATCTCGGTTGCAATGCTTTACTGGCCCCTATATGCATAAAGATAATAGGCACATTTTTTCTGTAATACATGAGTGTACATTCATTATGAAGGTGGCTTTTCCCTCTAATGCTTCCCTCTTTGAAGCTCCCCTTTGCCTCTTCCCTCCAGACATTTTTGGGCTCTCTATCCGGAGCCGATCAGCTGCCTTCTTTTCAAGGTCTGTTCTCAATGTCACCAGGTACTCACACGCCAGGGGGGAAAGGACGGGTATGGCGGCGTGTGTCCAGCAGGTGGCAGCAGAGAGCAGGCGGCGCAGCAGCACACAGAGCCCCGGCTCCGCACATCAGCTGCAGAGGAGAGGCTGAGCTCCTGAAGGGCATCAGATGAGAGCAGCAGAGGTGTAGAGCGGGAGCCCGGCGAGCCCAGTCTGCTTCTCTCTACATCTATCCCCCCCTCCCGTCTCCTGTCCTCTGCGCCTCTCCCGAGCATGGAAAGCAAATTCAACTCCTCCACCAACAGCAGGGACGAAGGGAATAACGTCTTCCAGGGCAAAGCCGAGAAAAGTCTGACCGCCAGCAGCTCCAGCGTCAAGGACCACGGCAACTCCGTCTGCTTCAAAGGGGATGGCGAGGAACCCGTGGTCGGCTTTGAAGATGCGGAGGGACCGAGCCGGCCGTACGGCTTCATGCAGAGACAGTTCAGCTCCCTGCTGCAGCCTGGAGTCAATAAATTCTCCCTCCGCATGTTTGGCAGCCAAAAGGCAGTAGAGAAGGAGCAAGAAAGGGTTAAAACTGCAGGCGTGTGGATCATACATCCCTACAGTGACTTCAGGTAAACGCTTTACTCTAATGCAAAGCTTAATCCTGCCTATTACCGGGTCCCTTCTGGGTGGCAGATGCCACAAGTAGCGTGCCATCACTCTGCTGTGCGCCTGTCTGTGTGTGCCTATGTGTGTGCCTATGTGTGTCTGTCTGTGTGTGCCTATGTGTGTCTGTCTGTCTGTGCCTATGTGTGTCTGTCCGTGTGTGCCTATGTTTGCCTGTCTATGTGTGTGTCCATCTATCTGTGCCCACCTATGTTTGCCTGTCTGTGTGTGCCTATGTTTGCCTGTCTGTGTGTATGTGTGTGTCCGTCTATCTGTGCCCACCTATGTGTGTCTGTCTATGAGTGCCTGCCTATGTGTGTGCCTATGAGTGCCTGTCTATGTGTGTCTGGCTTCTAGTAATCCAGCAGATAACACTCAAGTAACTTTAAAGTTGTGTGGCATGACACGGTCTGACACTTTAATGGCACAGGAGGGGTTTGAAAGAAGGAGGCATCCATGTCTGCTTTATATCAGCGGCTGGAATTTATTCAGAATGTGCTGCTTTTGTTTTTTTTTCTAGAGTGTTGCTTTGTTCCCCTTTCTAGAGTGTTGCTTCGTTCCCCTTTCTAGAGTGTTGCTTCGTTCCCCTTCTAGAGTGTTGCTCCCCTTCTAGAGTGTTGCTTCGTTCCCCTTTCTAGAGTGTTGCTTCGTTCCCCTTTCTAGAGTGTTGCTTCGTTCCCCTTTCTAGAGTGTTGCTTCGTTCCTTTTTCTAGAGTGTTGCTTTGTTCCCCCTTCTAGAGTGTTGCTTCGTTCCCCTTCTATATTGTTGTTCCCCTTCTAGAGTGTTGCTTTGTTCCCCTTCTAGAGTGTTGCTTCGTTCCCCTTCTAGAGTGTTGCTTCGTTCCCCTTCTAGAGTGTTGCTTCGTTCCCCTTCTAGAGTGTTGCTTCGTTCCCCTTCTAGAGTGTTGCTTCGTTCCCCTTCTAGAGTGTTGCTTCGTTCCCCTTCTAGAGTGTTGCTTCGTTCCCCTTCTAGAGTGTTGCTTCGTTCCCCTTCTAGAGTGTTGCTTCGTTCCCCTTCTAGAGTGTTGCTTCGTTCCCCTTCTAGAGTGTTGCTTCGTTCCCCTTCTAGAGTGTTGCTTCGTTCCCCTTCTAGAGTGTTGCTTCGTTCCCCTTCTAGAGTGTTGCTTCGTTCCCCTTCTAGAGTGTTGCTTCGTTCCCCTTCTAGAGTGTTGCTTCGTTCCCCTTCTAGAGTGTTGCTTCGTTCCCCTTCTAGAGTGTTGCTTCGTTCCCCTTCTAGAGTGTTGCTTCGTTCCCCTTCTAGAGTGTTGCTTCGTTCCCCTTCTAGAGTGTTGCTTCGTTCCCCTTCTAGAGTGTTGCTTCGTTCCCCTTCTAGAGTGTTGCTTCGTTCCCCTTCTAGAGTGTTGCTTCGTTCCCCTTCTAGAGTGTTGCTTCGTTCCCCTTCTAGAGTGTTGCTTCGTTCCCCTTCTAGAGTGTTGCTTCGTTCCCCTTCTAGAGTGTTGCTTCGTTCCCCTTCTAGAGTGTTGCTTCGTTCCCCTTCTAGAGTGTTGCTTCGTTCCCCTTCTAGAGTGTTGCTTCGTTCCCCTTCTAGAGTGTTGCTTCGTTCCCCTTCTAGAGTGTTGCTTCGTTCCCCTTCTAGAGTGTTGCTTCGTTCCCCTTCTAGAGTGTTGCTTCGTTCCCCTTCTAGAGTGTTGCTTCGTTCCCCTTCTAGAGTGTTGCTTCGTTCCCCTTCTAGAGTGTTGCTTCGTTCCCCTTCTAGAGTGTTGCTTCGTTCCCCTTCTAGAGTGTTGCTTCGTTCCCCTTCTAGAGTGTTGCTTCGTTCCCCTTCTAGAGTGTTGTTCCCCTTCTAGAGTGTTGCTTCGTTCCCCTTCTATATTGTTGTTCCCCTTCTAGAGTGTTGCTTTGTTCCCCTTCTAGAGTGTTGTTTCTTTCCCCTTCTAGAGTGTTGCTTCGTTTCCCTTCTATATTGTTGTTCCCCTTCTAGAGTGTTGTTTTGTTCCCCTTCTAGAGTGTTGCTTCGTTCCCCTTCTGTATTGTTGTTCCCCTTCTAGAGTGTTGCTTCGTTCCCCTCCTTGACATTCTATTTTAGAATATTTGGCAGGCTACAGTGTTCCTCTTGTCATTAGACTGTGCACAGTGCCTAGAAGACAAGTGTCAGTGTCTGGGCACAAACCACCATGAAAATGTCTCACCACTTCTATAAACGACCCGAATCTGCAGTGAGAGATTTATAGACTCGCCATGACCTTGAAACTAGACCATGCCTGCTGTAAGATACATGTACAAATGTCCTACAGATGACTGTATTGTATATTGTATTCATAGTGGCCGTGTGAATAGCGGCAAACACCGCACAAGTGTCCTCAGTGCTCCGAAATATCCACTGACACTGCCAACCATTGCCCAAAGTCAGTGCATGGCACAGTGTCTGTCTGTCTGTCTATCTATCTATCTATCTATCTATCCAACCAACCAACCAGGAGTCCTTTTATTTCTTAATGTTTATATAATCTCTCTATCATGTTATTTGTAGTAGCACTTTGTATATATATTTATTTTTCTGTTGTGTAACATAGTGATCTCTCTCTCTCTCTCTCTCTCTCTCTCTC